ATCCTTCTGCCTCAGACACTCTAACACTGACAGTAGCGCTTTATCATGCGACTCCTGATCTACACCGAACACTACAATGCCATCTGATATATTTATGGCACCTGGTACCCCATCTATCACCTGCTGGATGACATTCTGGAATACTTCGATCGCGCTGCTGATACCGAAGAACAAGCGTTTATACCTTCTCAAACCGACATGAGTTGTAAACATTGTGATTTGTCTTGACTCGGAGGTAAGTTCCAACTGGTGGTACCCATTACGCAAGTCAAGTTTTGAGAACACTTTCGCACCATTCTACTGAGCTAACACATCATCCACTGTGGGGGTAATATGTCTTTCCCTCACTATGGCGCGGTTTGGCTGGCGCATATCGACGCATAGGCGCACTTCATCGGGATTCTTCGGTTTTGGCGCAACAACTACTGGCGTAACCCACGGGGGTTGGAATCTACTTTCTCTATGATGTCCAACTCTTCCAACCTTTTCACCTCTTTCTCTAACTTCTCACGCATATAATACGGGATTCTAAGATGGGCTGGGCCACAGGGCTGACATGTTCCCTGACATGTAACTTTACTTGGTAGCCCTTCATTCTACCGACACCACTGAACAACTCGGGATGAGACTGGATATACTTATCCACCGGCCCCCCTGACTCAACTTGACTGACACTTCCGGGTTTTATTATCTTCAGCAACCCAAGCTTCTGAAGCAACGTCTGGCCGTGCTTTGCAACATATATCTTTTCAGTGACACTTTCACCGTTGCTCGACAGCTCTGAATCAAACACACCAATAACATTCAACTTGTTAAATCATATATGAACTTCATTCTCTATATGAGATTCTGTACATTGGGAATACAATGTCAATAGCTCTTACGCAAACGTCTGTTTTTGATTAAGGCCAACTATAAATAGTACTACCTCGCAGGTGGGTGGCTGATAGCATGGCTGATAGTATCACAGCATGGGCTAAACATAGACTGGTACTCGCTCCCACCTCCATTACTCGCCCCATCGAGTAACTAAAGGCCCGCTTATGTCGGCCTTACGACCTAGTCGCCGACAAGATTTGAATATCCTACGTCAAAAACCGGCCAGATCGCCGATAAAAACATCGGCGACCAAACTCGACATGAGTTCTCTTACGATCGAAAATACGGTCGCCGACTGCGATCGCAGGAATAGAACATGTTCTATTTCTATGCGGCTGTCGGCGACAAATCGTGAGTGGCAGCCAATCACCGCAGCGTACCGAGTCACATGATTATCAAAAGTCCTGTGATTAATAAAATGGCAGCCTACACAGCACGCCGTCAGCAGTTTACAAGAAGGGATTATTGCACAAACCCTTTCTCAAGTATCTATTAAGTTTTTCGTATGTCACATGAAAAAAAATTCTGCACATGATGATAACGATGTTCAGAAAATTGAGGATAGATTTACGAAGTTACATGATGTTTACTGGTAAGCGCCATTTTGTTGGTCACGTACGTGACTCGTTTTATGTAGACTGGTCCCGGCGTCAAGCTTGCTCTGTTTTTAGCACAGAACTGCTTGTGCTAGTACAAATACTGGGGCCGCGAACCCGTCTACGTTTCATGCAGGAACGCTACGATGTGTGGTTGTGTGTGTGTGTGTGTGTGTGTGTGAGAGAGAGGTGTGCGCTGTTTGTAATTGTGTGCGTGACAGTGGCAGAGAGAGAGAGAATCAGAGAGGGAGTGTGTATGTGTCAGAGAGAGAGAGGTGTGTGTGTGTGTGTGTGTGTGTGTGTGTGTGTGTGTGAGAGAGAGAGAGAGAGAACCTGAGAGGGCAGTTGGATCAGGGCATGCTCAGCGAAAAGCCGTTGGACCAACGTTGGCAATCTGACGTTGGGCCAACGTTGTCAATATGGCGTTGGGCCAACGTTGGCACGCTGAGCAAAAAACGTTGGCCAACGTTGGCTGCTCTGACGTGTGAGCCAACGTTGTGCAATATGACGTTGGGCCAACGTTGGCACGCTGAGCAAAAAGCCGTGGGCCACGTTGTCATATGACGTTGGACCAAGTGTGGCCGCCTCAGCAAAAAGACGTTGGGATCAACGTTTGCTGTCTGACGTTGGGCCAACGTTGGGCCAACGTCGGGCCATCGTTGGGCCAATGTTGGCTGCCAGCGTTGAGCCCAACGTTGGCACGCTGAGCAAAAAGACGTTGGATCAACGTTGGCTGTCTGACGTTGGGCCAACGTTGGCAATATGACATTGGGCCCAACGTTGGCCCAACGTTAGCATGAGCTGAAGACAGCCGTTGGCCCAACGTCAGCTTGTTATCTGGGATTACCGTAAATGTTCCGCTAAAGTCCTGTTGCTACAAGGTCCACTCAGGAGGAGACCTATGGCGTCATGAAAATGTGGGTAAAGACACCAAAATTATGCTCTACGATATTTTGAATTTTAGTTATTCAAACAAAATAAACAATTTCATTGGCGGCCATCTTGAAAGCCAAGATGGCCGCTATCCTATGCTTTTCTAAGTGTCATAACTGGGTTCTCCACTATCCGAAATGTGGGTATAGACACAAAAATTATGTCTCTACGTCTTTGAGTCAGTTAGTATTCAAATAAACAAATTTCACTGGCGGCGATAATGAAATCCAATATGTCCGCCATCCTATGTTTCTCACCAACTGGTGGGTATAGCCACCAACATTATGTCTCTACGACGTCTGGGAGTCAAGATATTTCAGAAAATCCATTTTCGCTGGCGGTCATTTTGGATTTCAAGATGGCCGCCACAATACGCAAGTCAGCCTGGAAACATACCCAGTGGAACTCCCCAAGTATCATAGAAATGATATTTACCCGTTTCCAGCCTCTGCCCAAAAAGTTTAGGCTCATCCTTATTTTGGATATCTGCCCCCTGACTATAAGGCAGACGCACGTATAACGTACAGATCTCTTCAATGTCGGGGAGGATCAACACATTTCGACTGACAGTCAACCATCGGGCTCTGCAGCGTCTACAAGCTTGCATGCTCCACCATATCCCGACATTGCACACTACTGTAACGTCGACGGAGAGAGCCATGCCAAGGACAGTACAAAACTGGCAAATTTTGGTAGTTGGCCAATCTTTCATTGGTAGGTTTGACGATTCAATTCTGCAATGACTTATCTCAAGATTGATTAAACTGAAGGGTAAAGTAATTCTTTCTGCACTTTTGAGCGCAATATACATTTGACCTATCCTGCCGGGACATTCTTCTCACTCTGTTCCGATAGATGGCGTGCATACTGCATCGTATTAGGTAGACTGGTACCCGGTCCCACCTCTCGGCTAAAGGCCCGCTTATGTCGGCCTACGATTTGACTATCGGCGACTACTTATCGCGATTAGCAGCGTAGCCAACACTCATGTCGACTTGAAGTACTACGCTGCACATCACCGATCCAGATGGTAGNCTCAATACAACCAGTTTGTTCTTCGTGTCGTGACTGTTTAAAACTAATATTCTGACATTCTGGTATGCTTATATATGTTTTTAATGTTGGCTTGACTGTTGTATAGTAATGGAGTAACATACCACCATGTTGATAATCAAGATGGCCGGCCACCATCCTTGCTTTTCTAAAGTGTCATAATTTCTGTTCTCCATTATGCGAAAATGTGGGTTTAGACATCAAAATTAGTGTCTCGTACGACGTCTGGCAGCTCTAGTTATTTCAAAATAAACAAATTCACTGGCGGCGATATTGAAATCCAATATGGCCGCCATCCTATGTTTCTCTAAGTGTGATAATTGGGTTCTCCACTATCGAAAATGTGGGTATAGCCACCAACATTATGTCTCTACGACATCTGGGAGTCCAGATATTTCAGAAAATCCATTTTCGCTGGCGGTCATTTTGGATCTTAAGATGGCCGACACAATACGCAAAAGTCAGCCTGGAAACATACCCAGTGGAGCTCCCCAAGTATCATAGAAATGATATTTACCCGTTTCCAGCCTCTACCCAAAAAGTTTAGGCTCATCCTTATTTTAGCTCTTTTTGAAATCTGCCCCTTGACTATTACCTCTGCCCGCCATCTTCGTCGAAAGTTTGGACGCCGCACGGCGAAATCAGAATGTACATTTCAATCTATGATGTAACTGATACAGTAGCACGCTGCGTGGGTGTTATTTGTTTATAAACAATTTAGTCTGACTGACTCTCTCCCTCTCTCTCCTCTCGCTCGCTCTCTCTCTCTCTTTCTTTCTCTCTCTCTCTCGCCCCCCTCTCTCTCTTCCTCTCTCTCGCTCTCTCTCTCTGCAATAAAAAAAATGTTTGCTGAAATGATGTGTACGCAACTGCGTATCTGCATATCTGCGCCTAACAAAGGTGTCACTACGCACGACTGAAATGTTACGTTTATAACCGTAGCAACAGACCTCAGATGAGCCCAGATGCTCTGCGGCTCTTGTTGTTAGGTTATGCCCATGATGTAACATTCTACCCGTCCAGGGTAAAAAATACACGGGAGCGATGAGCGATGAGCGATTCAAACCTCCGAAATCGCTCCCGTGATGCTCAAAATAGCTCCCGTAAAATTTATGACGAGAGCTATTTTTCCCACAGACTTGAAAACGAGCAAAAAACGTGAAAAAAAAGGAATTTTTTCCCTGTACCCGTCAATAGAATTCAGTCTGCTACAGTACTGCTGGGGTAGGAGGGATTGGAGCTGCTATGATGTTTTTGCATGGTTGAACAAGATTTCTGCCTGTTTTTTCTCTCTGGCAGCAAGAAATTGCTGCCTGGCAAAGAAAAAAAATGTCTAACCCAGATATATATATATATATATACATTAACTTTGAGTCAAGCTTTGATTGGAAGACATTGGTATATGAACACTACAGTCTACAGGAATTAAATTGGGGATAAATTATTTTTGCTTGTTGCAATGAAGCATGATGAGACTTTCTGTTAAACAATTCTCTGTTTATCAATAGTGACTTTATACTCTGTGTTTAAAATTAACAGTGACTGCTAGCAAACATGGCTGGATGCCTCGATAGCTTTCAGTGGCCACAGTGTGAGTGGTTGAACCTGGACGACAGAAGAAATGCGATTGCCTCTATCTTCTCGGGGTTTCTGGTTTGTATATATAGCTGAAGTTATTTGTGATAACTCTGTTTAGTTACATCAGAAGTAGTTACATCATTAGTTACATTGAATTCCCAATTATCTACTTCTGGTTACATCTTGCTATTTTTGGAAAATAAAGTATTAAATGAAACATGGGAAACAACCATTTTACACAGGTATTGCTGATAAATATATAATGAACATGTATACATATATATGAAGATATCAGGAGTGTCATAATATAGAGGAGTATGACTCGCTCGAATCACAAGAAATTCAACATTTCAATGCCCTAGTTTGCCTATGATTTATTACGTGAAACTCAATAATAAATGACATCAGGGGTAGCGCTGTACATCCCACTTGCCATCACAGTTTACCTTGTATCGATACCTCTTCTTATTAGGTAGTTATAGCTTCGAACGTAGGCATGGTTTTAGTCATTCACATAATCACGCGGCAGGCATTCCTGGCCGATGCAAGTAAACAATTGGCAGCTTGCAGTGAGATGCTGTTGTCATTTTTATTGAGTTTCATCATTTCATGTAATAAATCGTAGGTAAACTAGGGCATGGAAATGTTGAATTTCTTGTGTTTCGCGTTGCTTGTGTTCATACTCCTCTATATTATCAGGAGTCAATCAATATTGATAGAGATCTGATATTATGACACTCGTGATGATGTGCTATCACACTATGTTGCTGTGTATTCACATGTAGATTTTTATGGAAATTTTACTGTTTTTGTTACAGTTCTTCACGGGTTGGTGGATTATCATCGATGTAGCTGCAAGATATCCCAGCGGAAATGATTTCATGCATGCGTACCACGTGTGCGGTGTCGTCGGCACGTTAGCCTTTTTTATGTATGTGGATTCTTGATAGTCAGATGCCCATACTTAAACTTGTAATTAAAGCAACCAATTCATCTGTACGTGTCTGGTGATGATTTTGATTACCTGCTCTAGACTGCTGTATCGCCTCATCTTTTCTTACTGTGTATCTATTTTGAATTTGACAGGATTAATGCCGTATCTAATAGTGCAGTGAGAGGGGACTCGTACACGCCAGGATGTTTGGGACAAAGGGGTGCCCGTGTCTGGTTGCTTATCGGGTTTTTGCTTGGGTTTGGAGCCATTATAGCATCAGCCTGGATCCTATTTGCTTCATATGTCATCTATCGTAAGTACACTATTGCTGGTTTATTATAAGTTGCTCTCATGGTCTATTCCAGGGGATATGTCTGCACTCCAAAATGATTATTTCACCTATTTTTTGCAGTCTCAATTTTATTTTACACAGCATAAACAGAAAATACAACTATATGATTTTGTTTTATATTCATTCATGGTTAATTTACTGCAACATGACTTTATTTTGCCATTTTCTTCATTGTAAACAAGCATACGTGACTCATACATTTACCTTTATGAGCAGTTTTGATGTGCACAAAAAATGCAAATCAGTAGGGGGTGTTTTAGATTTTTAATTACTCAAAGTATCTTGAAAAAGTTTTAGTGTATATTTATTGTTGCTAACACTAACATTTTAAGTAAAATGAAAGTGTCAATGACACTGTAGCTCATCACAAAAAAGGACACAAATGAGTGAGTAAGAAGAAGTCAGTTTTAATTGAGCAACCATCGACGTACATTATAGAAACGATTGCCATCTGTATATCGCAATAATAATTTATAAACCAAAATGAATCACAATTTGTGACCGTAGATGGCGCTATACCCGTTTTGTAGCGATGGCGTTTGAAATAAATAGGTTATGCTGCGTTCCGACATGTTTTCTAAAACTTTACTCTAATATAGACGTTTTATCGGCAGGGTGTAGAGGAAATACCAATTTTGCATTAAAGATATTGTCAATGAAATCTTGTAAAACGAACCAGACGAGTGTGACACCACAGACTGTTTGTGTCTATATAATATGCTATGTAATTGCCAAACCCTACCTAATTTATATAAAAAAAATTTAAATATCAAAACCCTTATTCATTCACATACCAAACATGAGCAAAATCCGTTGAACCTGAACTGACTAATGGCAATTCCCATTTTTGCCAAAAAATTGCCGTGGCTCGAAAGTACGTCGACTGGCGTGCTCCAACATAGGACGTTTAATATGGGAGCATAGCAGTAACAACTATACCCAATTTCAAACATGTGGGCCAAACGGTTCCTGAGTTATCGTTGACCGTAGCGAAATGTTGACGGACGGACGGACGGACGACGGACGACGACCCATGGCAATAGCTCAGCTTGACGATGTCAAGGTGAGCTAAAAATGGAACTTTTTGAAATAAATATCCTTCTAATAAAAAGATGTGATAGTCTTTTTAAAACATCAGTTCCTCTAGCTCACACATCAGAAATTTCAGTGAAAACACTCAGGATTCTAACTGATTGTCTGCGTGTTTATTGTCGTTATAGCAACACCAAATGTTGACCAGTGGCCTGGAGTTGCTGTGTTTCTGCAGAATGCCCTTATCTTTATAAGTGCTCTACTTTTCAAGTTCGGCCGTACAGAGGAACTATGGGGCTGAGCTCACGTTATTAAAAGTGTAAACAGGTAATTAGTTGTATTCACTATGCTTGCACCATGTGGGAGTGATTAGAAACATTATTATTTTTTAACATTTTCCGGTGATGTTTCTTAAATAGTGACAATAAGCGTCAATCATGCACACATGGATGCATTTATTAGTCAGTTGGCCTTCGCCAGCTTCGTGATAATGGTTGATGTGGGAAGCCCATGTTTTCTCTAGCTAAATGTGTAGCCATACATTTTTAGATATAATTTATCCCAAAGTAAATATTCATTAGGATGTAAAAATGATACAAGTACATGCAGCTGGCTATGGTTGATGTAAATGTGTATCATTGCTGAAGCTGTGCTTGGTACCCCCGCAGAGTGAAGCTTACTGTGTGGGCAATGTGCCCCCCATCCGTCCGTTGCTGTCTTGTTGTCTAAATTTGAATGTTTGTAGTTGTGCCTTGTGCAATATGTGTGGGGCAAGTCCTGTACTTTTATTAGTGATTTACTTGCCTGAAGATAAACTCTGTCTCTGTATAAAAGTGATTCTATATACATACAGTTCTCTTTGTGCAAATTTTTGACATCAAATACAGTTGTAGCTGTCTCATATCCTCATTTATTATGATTGCGTGTTCTGTAGTGTTAGCTGCAAGCGTGCTAGTGCAACTTGAATGATGATGGTCAAGATAGATCACTGTTTGTTACCTGAATCTGTACAAGCTGCCCCACAACTTCTTGTTTTTACAAATTCCATGGCTGTAATGTGGGATCCAATTGGGTTCTAATCTATATATAAAGTTGTTCAGCCGAATTAGTCTGTACTCACATAACTAGAGAACTCCGCAGCCTAGAGGAAAACTAAAGATATTTCCAGAATCAGCACGTCTGTGAGGTGGTTCTGGCTGAAACAAAAATTTAAAAAAGTTAAAAAGTTAAAAATTGATACAATTGATACATTGTGTCAATCTCCACACAATGTCAGCACTGACTGTACAGTGCTGCCACACAGAGAAAAAATCGATTCCCTCACCTCATCCGGCTGCTGGTATTGTGAAACCGAAACCGAGCACCGAGCTAAAACAGAGCACAGCCAGTTCAGAGGTTACGACTGCATTGTTTATCAACAGGCTTTGAAATGAGAAGTCCAACCCATTCGTAAATGCTGTTACGTGCCGTACGTGCCATACGTGCATGCCGTACGTGGGGAGCCCAACAGTTCGAGACGCCAGGAATCTTTACATATTTCCACCAGAGAATAACACGAAAAACATTGTTTATCAAGAGGTTTTCAAATGAAAAGTGCAACCCATTCGTACCTGCTGTTATAATAACTTTTTGTCATTTACACCATATTACTATTATGTTCCAGGGGTTCTAAGTTGGGTTGTGCTGTCATATAAATGTCATACGTAACAGTTTTTCCCCATGCTTATTATCTTATTAGACTGATTTCTAAATATTCATATTGTGTGCAATGTTATTGTCGATTTTTACCCAATGTTCCTATTGTGTCCCATTATTAGTAGTATGAATTAGTAGCACGATTTTACCCAGCACAGCGGGTACCCGCAGCTAGTATATATATAAAGTTGTTCAGCCGAATTAGTCTGTACTCGCATGACTAGAGAACTCCGCAGCCTAGAGGAAAACTAAAGATATTTTCAGAATCAACACGTCTGGGACGTGGTTCGGGCTGAAACAAAAATTTAAAAAAGTTAAAAATTGATAAAAATTCTATTCATCAATAGATGATGGTGCGTACAGATTAACATCACGTACGTGTGAATCCATTCTGTATACCCTTAACGGCGCAGTGGCCTAATCGCTAAAACATCCGTCTCCTACACCGGGATTCCGGGTTCGAGTCCCAGCTGGAGAACTTATTTTCGACTTTTTTCCTTTTTTACCCTTTAATTACCTCTAGTATGTATTATTTTTTATTTTTGACTTTTTACTTTTTATTTTTTATTTTTAATGTCTTATCTTTTTATTTCTTCTTATTTTTTTACTGTTTGGGATGCGATGGCATGGGATGCGGTGGGATGGCATGGCATGGCATAGCATGGCATGCGATGAGATGGGATGGGATGGCATGGGATGCGGTGGGATGGGATGGATGGATGGATGCATGGATAGATAGTTAGATTTTTTTTGGTATTTTCCTTTCAACCAAGCGGTCACCAACTGAGAACCGCCACAGATTTCCCCGGGCAACGCCGGGTATCCCGCTAGTTTCTTATTAATGGTAAACTTTGAAGGTAGTATTTTACTAGTTACCACAGACATCTGTGCACCCCAATATATGTGTCACGAGGTGTGTTAGTGTGTGCGCGTGCGTGCGTGCGTGCGTATACATATATATTGTCAAGCACAATGCACTATATAATTGTATTCACATCTAAAATAAATATTTATTGTATATATTGTACCAAACAATTTTTTGCTCAGTTGTTAACTGTTTAAAATAGGTTATGCTATGTTTAATTATACAGAGTGCCTACGCGTCCGGCTGCCGCACGCCCAGCTCCCAGGCTACGCATCCGGTCATCCATTTCACACGAGATCATCAGGTGTTAGTAACAAATTGTTGCATGGAAACGTGTGCGTTGCATTGTTTGTGGTCAATTTCGTACAGACTTATACTATTTATTAAACTGCTTCACGCCAAAAATCGCACCAGTGCGTATCATGTATGTTATGGCAAGTGCCCCAAATCTACGTCACGATTAGGCCATGCTGCCGTTCAAATCGTTGATTTTACTGGATTTACTATTGTTTCAAGAGTTTCAAAAACATGTTTTTGCTAAAATACCTAAATGTAAGTATTAATATGGTAAAAATTAATGTTTAGTCTTTTTTACTGAAAAAATATAGTTGGGTTCACATAAGAAATGGATGACCGGACGCGTAGCCTGGGAGCTAGGCATCCGGTAACCAGGCGCATACCGACGGCCTTAATTATATACAGCTTCTAACAGCTGCTTTGGGTTCTGTGTTATTATAATGGCCTGGTTCATTAGTTCATTAGCTATCATCACCATCAGTGAATTCCCACTTTCTCCCTTCCCCCAGTAAGTGGGGTAGGGGTAAACAGCTGCTGTTATCTACTGTTGGGTAGTTATAACACAAAATAGTCATTGAGTTGCAAACACTTTATTGTTCAGTATGCCACAAAAGCCGATATATAAACCGATTGTATAAATATGATTATCTTATTAGTTATTACGGATATGTGTATATATTCTTTTACCAATCATTTGTCGGATTTTCCTTTTACGTACATATAAAATTACTATCCATTATTCTGTGATCACTACACAAAGAGACATCCAGTGAAGTCCCATTTAGAAAGGAAGCTTGTTAAAGTTTTCTCTGTGCTCTATCCATGTTAATGCATGGATAAATCTCATTCTATGCCCTTTGAATTCATATAATACATGTCACACCTTGCAAGCTTAAGTGGTGCGTATAATATGATTATAATTCTTAAGAACGCACGTATCCATGTACTACGAAATATTCTTTGTGCAATCATACAAAATAGAGTGAATTTTCAAGAAAAATTTGTGTTTGTAAACTAAAATGTTTAACCTTTTTAAAGCATTTAATTGCTCACTAATGGGCAAGTCTGTGATTTTATTGAATACACAGAGCTTACTTGGCTAGCACAATTTTTGGTGTCTATTTTAGGCTTTAGTTTAGTCTCAAGAAGAGGTGAACTAAAATAGCCAGCTAGTTCTATGCTGCAGATCCAAGCGGGTTTCTTAAATTACCGTCACTTACTCAGCATGCGTTTATACGTCGGCTAGACGCGTGAAGCCGGTAGATGCGGATCGTGCGCTTATTTGGTTCTTCCCTCGTTAACATGATAGAGCTGTTATCAGTACGTCTCCATCTATTTGAACAGTATTGATAGAGTCGACTGGGATGCAATGGGCAAACTCGGTGTAGCTCTCGCTGTTTACAGTCACCTACAGCCACAAAGAAAATCAACGTTAGACGAGCTAGCACGGCGATAATTTATTATCAATATTTACAGATGAACATTGTAACAGATATTGGCATTTTATGCACAACTGCCATATATTAGTCATTTGGTCAATTTATATTATGGTATGCTCTGCGTGAGATTGGAGCGAAAAAATGTTGAAATTACCGGGAAAGAGGCATGTATATGTAGCGGTTAGTATATATTGTTATGTAGAGTTGTTCCATTTATAGTTTTATTTGACGATAGATGGCGCTGGCGTGCGTGTTGTGAGGTGAGAAGTGTCGCGGGAGAGGGAGAGGAAGTCGTTTTTGCAAATCAACGTGTGTTTGTGAAAGAATATATAACTTTTAACTGCATTTGGAGTGTTGCTGTAATTTTAAATACTTGCGTGAGCGTTCGACAACCACAAGACAGGGGGCTGAACCCCGAGGGACTGGTATTTATACTGATGATAGTGATAATACACACTACAATACCGGTAACATTTGGAGCCCAACGTGGGGCCCCTGAATAGAGTAACAGCATGTCGAACGCGGAACAGGATGCCGCTGTTGGCGGTACAGGAACAGCAAGTCCCGCGCCCTCTGTACGACCTACCATGGACCTGCAACGTGTGGTGGAGACTCAGCTGGAACACATTAAAATGGAGAGACAGCTGCAGGTGCAGCCCGCGGTTCCGGAGTCGGTCACCCTCAAGAAGGACTTTGTCATTGTGGGTAAAATTGGTGAGCTGGGTGACCCTAGCACCCTCTCATATGCGTCAGTACAGCATCAGCTCGACAGGGCCCGAGAGAGAGGGGTAACGGAGAGGGAATTAGTCCAGGGCGTTGTAAGGGCAATAGCGCCGAAGTTACAAGTCAAGGCCTATTTGGAGGGGCGAGGAGACATCGGCCTAATGGAGTAAATGGCAATTTTAGCCAGCCATTACCAAGTAGAGGACGGCCGGGAGCTCTACCAGAGCCTGTGCTCAGCGGTCCAAGGGACCAACGAATCACCAATCGACCTCATCCTGAGGGTGATTGAGTATCCGGGCAGAGGGTAATGGAGGCTGGCTACAACAAGGACCTAGTGGATGAGACCATGAGACATGCGCTGGTGACTGGGCTAAGAGAGGAATCGCTCAGATGTGAGATGAGGTCTTTACCACCGGGTGCCTCAGATTGTAACATTCTGGAGGTTGCGAAGAAAAGAGCCCTGCTGACAAAAGAGGTGCAGGCCAAACATAACAAAAGCGCGAAAGTATCCTCGATAAGTCAGGAGAATTTCGAAGGCTGGAAGAGGGAATGAAGGAGATGCTCAGAAAGGAGCTGAGTGAGATGAGACAGGAGGTGGAGAGTTGGAAGCCCAGAGTCAGCAGAGACAAGGTCAAAGGTCAGAAGTAAGAAGGAGGACGTTTGGCTGCCAGGGTTGCAGGAGAAGCAGCAGAGGTGTAATCACTGTTTCAAGTGTGGCGGTACTGGCCACGTTGCTAAGGAATGCAGCTACCAGACGGGAAACGGACGGCCATCTGCTCTGGCGGGAGCAGGACAGGTGGACCTTTAGTAAGACCCCGCAATTTCCATCGGCGACAGGGAGTAGGTAATGGAAAGGTGGCCAGATTAGTCGGAAGAAGCGTAAGCCGTCAAGCCCAAGACAGGTCAGCTCCATCAAACGCAGCCATCAGTTGCAGCCACACCACGCGGAGGTAGTGAGTAATTGCATTGACGAGTTAACCTCTGCACCTGTCATGGCCTACCCAGACTTCGAATTGCCATTCATCCTACACACAGATGCATCTGGTGAAGGACTCGGAGCGGTACTCTACAACAACGGGCGAGTCGCTGCGGTGATTGGTATGCCTCGAGGAGTTCTGTCCCCAGCAGAGAAGAATTACCATCTACACTCGGGAAAACTGGAGTTCCTTGCGCTGAAGTGGGCCGTGACTGAACATTTTAGAAATTACCTGCTGCATGCAAAGTCCTTCACAGTCTTCACTGACAACAGCCCCTTGACGTATATACTGAGTACGCTAAGCTTAATGCACGGGTTGCGCTGGGGTTGCAGAGTTGGCAGAGTTCTACCCATTTGAGATCAAAGTACCGCGCCTGGAAAGGAAAACATAGATGCAGATGTGCTGTCCCGTGTGCCTGTGGACATGGCTGATTACATGACCAGATGCACCCAGTCAGTCTCTCCTCAGAACATCCAGGCTATTAGTAGTGGGGTGTCGCATCAGTCCCTGCCATATCGACAGTTATGGTGGCACCAAGCATGGTCGAAACCATGATGTAACAGTGGAGTGCAACTCTACCCAGAAGATTGACATAAACAAAGGTCAACAGAGTGATCCACGCATCAGGGACGTCCTGCAGTGGGTTCGACGGAAAATATATCCCTCAGCCAGGGAAGGCAGAAGAGTAGCGCCATCGCTGGCGTCTACTAAGGAGTGGACGAAGTTAGAGGTAGATGATGGGGTACTGTACCGGAACACCGCCACCAAGAAACAATTGGTTCTGCCAGAGGCTATGAAGTCTAGAGTCTTGAAAGAGTTGCACGACAATATGGGGCATCTGGGCGCCGACAGGGTGTTAGCGCTGGCGGTAGATAGATTCTACTGGCCTAAGATGGCAGGTGACATTGATTTCTACATCACATCCCAGTGCAAGTGCGTCAAGCAGAAGAAGCCAGCTAGACATCAGAAGGCACCATTGGTGCCCTTTCATATCTCCGAGCCATTTGAGTTGGTGTCCATAGACTTTCTGCACCTTGAGCGCAGTAAAGGTGGATATGAATACATCTTGGTCGTGACGGACCACTTCACACGCTTTGCACAAGCCTACCCGACCACCAATAAGTCGGGCAGAACAGCAGCAGAGAAGATGTTTAATGATTACTTTCTCAAGTATGGCTTCCCTAGACGTCTGCACCATGACCAAGGCAGAGAGTTTGAAAATGGTTACTTTAAGCACCTACAAAAGTTGACCGGCGTTCAGCATTCACGAACGACAAGTTATCACCCCGAGGGCAACGGTCAGTGTGAAAGGTTTAACCGTACCTTGTTGTCCATGCTTCGAACTCTGGATGAGGAACAGAAAGTGGATTGGAAAAGTCATCTCAACAAAGTTGTGCATGCATACAATTGCACGAAGAACGATGCGACGGGATACTCACCACATTACTTGATGTACGGTAGACACCCGCGTCTCCCAGTTGACATACTGTTCAAGTTGTCAGAAGAGAAGGTCGCATCCAATGCCAACGGAGGCATGCCAGAGTATGTCAAGAAGTGGAAGGAACAAATGGAGGAGGCATACACTATAGTGTCCCAGAAGGTGGCAAAGCGAAATCAGACTGCGAAAGAGCGGTTTGATCATAGGGCTTCTGCCGCAACACTAGATACAGGAGACAGAGTGTTGGTGAAGAGGTTGAAGGCCCCAGGGGGACCTGGGAAGTTACAGTCTTACTGGGAAAATGATGTCTACAGAGTGATGAAAAGGCACGCAGACCTGCCAGTCAATGATGTTATCGTGGATGACCAACCGTCTGGGAAGGTCCGAACACTACATCGGAATCATCTGATGCTATGCAACAGCCTCCCAGTGCCGAGGATAGAAACAACCCCACTGAACAAAACCAAAGAGAAGCGTGACGACAATCTTAAAGGTAAGGTAGAGTATCTGCAGGACTCCGATGGCTATGAGTCAACAGAGGCTGATAATTGTGTTATTGGTTTTACCATTAAGAAACCAGATTGGGCCGAGGAAGGTGTGGGGATACCACTAGGCTCAAACCCGGAAGCCCCAGAGTTTGTGCCAAGGACTCAATCCGATCACCGAGCGGAAATGAATAGAGGTAACCATCGGGATCAGGATGAAGCCTGTATCGATGAGTCTCCCAGTGCATAGGGAAAGCAATCGTGCGAATGATCTTCAGAATTCTGAGGATAGCGATGTCGAGGAGAATCTCCAGGCCTCAGAGGGTGACCTAGAAGATAACAGTGTGTCGTCGGAACCCAGTGTTGGGGAATCAGAACATACGGAGGAGGAGTGTAACCCCTTCGCAGACAGGATCAGGGAACCTCGACAAGTGAGAAACAAGCAGCCACCAAAGCGATACACATATGATGTTATGGGTACACCTGCTCCGGCTTGCTTAACTATTCAACCCATAAACTGGTCATCTTCGTGGCTTGGATGGAAACCCAAAACAATGCATATTATTGATGTTTGAATCTGGAAAATAGAATATGGCAGTGTATCTGCCTTCCTGTTGTAATGTTACCGCTGGGCGGTTGCCCCTTGTTTTTAGTGGATTGTGTTGCCTGATTAAAAATGTAATTGTATTGTCATATATGTAATTGCTGTAATTGAAAACCCTATGATTTATCAAGAGGCAGACTGAAATGAACATTGCATACTTATGGAAGGATAAGATGTTGGTTTGACTATTGACAGATTTTGAATTAAATTAATGTCTTAAGTAATTAGTTGTCCTAATGCCGTGGAAGACATTATTTTTGTTGGGGGGAGTATGTAGCGGTTAGTATATATTGTTATGTAGAGTTGTTCCGTTTATAGTTTTATTTGACGATATATGGCGCTGGCGTGCGTGTTGTGAGGTGAGAAGCAAAGATCGTATAGTGCCGGAGGCACAAGATAAACCACTCTCCAATCATAAGGCGCGTTCACACAGACGTTTTTGGCCCGAGCCTAATTAGGCCCGTGCCAGATTTGGCTCGAGCCGAGCGTTCACACGGCCGTTTTTGGCCCGAGCCTAATTAGGCCCGAGCCAGATTTGGCCCCATCGAAAACGTCGGACCAGGCCCGAGCCAAATTTTAGCACCAGCTTTCGGCGAGCGGTAGAGAGGTAGAATCCGTTGAAACAGTATAAAAATTCCAAAACAGTATAAAAGTTCCAAAACAGTATAAAAATTCGAAAAATTTGATCAGAATGCACGTTTTCAAGATTGATAATTAAACTCGGAACGTAACCGTAAGTAAACACTCTAAATAAATAGTAAACAACGCCATCTCGCGACATACTGCCAATTTATCTGTGAGATATTTTTGCAATAAAATTTATTTGAATTTGAATTTGAATTTGACAGACAGTATTCACTTGCGTACGTGTGAATGCGCCGACTCAAACCTGCCCGAGCCAAACTTGGCCCGAGCCAAATCTAGCCCATTTGGCCCGAGCCAAATCTAGCCCATTTGGCTCGAGCCAAATCATGACCGTGTGAACGCGACTATAGCGTAGTAGGTCATGGGTCGCCACAACCGCCATTTTAGGAAGCAAGTTTACACGAAGTTCCCGGATGTTGCTGTATCTGCTACTGTGCAACTGTCTGCTGTGTGCTGTCAGCTCAGCTTACTGT